GGTTGGATAAAGGTGCTCCAGGTATAAGGTCTATCTGGTGCTCAATGCCTCGGATGGGTGGTAAACCAGCTGGTATCTCCTCAGGGAAGACATCTTTGAACTTCTCCAAAAGCTCATTCATCTCGGCGGGTAAAACAGTCTCCTCTTGACCTGAAAACAACCCTTCTCTAAAGATCATTAGTAGCACCTGCGTTTTGGATTCTAAAGCCTTTAAAACATTACTAGGAGTAACATAGAGGCTAGTTTTACTTACCTTAGCTCCTTTGTCCATAGCCTTTTGGAGATTAAAGACTTCTTGGGGTGTAAGTGGAGAAAGGTTATGCTTCTTCTTGTTGTGAGAGAAGCTGTAGAAGTTGGTACGGCCATTGTGTATCGTCTCCTTGTCAAACTGCCATGGTCTACCAAGCAGAATGTGGCCTGCTTGCATGGGAACTACGTCACATAAAACCTGATCCTCGTACTGGTCAATGCTGAATGGTACTAACACTTGCTCTCCTATCTTTAGCTCTGTCTCGTCATTCAGCCATTTGAGTCTGTAGGGCCTCGGGTGCTTTGTCTTTTTGAGACCTAGCTTATCTACAAGATACTTACTAGCCACGTTAGTACACGAACCACCATCTATAATGAGACTACATACCTTGGTGTTCACGGTACAGCGTGTATGGAAGATGTTCTCTCTCTGAATGGTTTCTAGATCAAACATGGCACTGAGAACTCTCCGGGTCACTAGTAGCTCTCCCTCGTCAGGAAAATCAGTCACTTCTTCCTCTGATTCATCAAACTTGGCCTTGGCTTCATCTTGGGATTCATACTCGCCATCCTCCTTGAGTAGCATCACCCGTTGATTTGGACATTCCCTAGCGTAATGGCCTCTTCCTTGGCACTTGAAGCATGTAACATCTCTAGCTCGCTGGTTTTGGGGCTTGCTTGACTCGCCAGTAGCTGCCTTAGACGTCTCTACAACCGGCTTCTTGTACTTGGAAGCTGCTTCTGGTGCTTTGCCTCTATCAAAGGCTCTCGGCTGTGAACTCCAAGTGGGCTTAGCTCTAGCAGCAGAGGCTGACTTCCTCTTGACGTGCTGCTCGGCTTGTACAGCCAAGTGTAGGAGCTCATCAAGGTCTCGGTAAGTAGTCCTCTCCACCTTTCTTGCTATCCGGTCATGTAACCCATCAATGAACTGCGCCATGAGTGTTTCTTCTGTCTCGTTGGTCTCCAAGCGGTTTTTGAGTAGCTCAAACTCCTCAAAGTACTCCTCAACGGATCTAGTACCCTGTGTGAGCTTTCTGAACTTCTTCTGTAGGTCTCGGTGGTAGTAGGAAGGAACATATCTCTTCCTCAAGTGGTATCGCATCTCTGCCCAAGTGGTGATCTGGTCGTGTCTATGTCTCCTTCTCTCCGAAACTTCTCTGTCCCACCAGGCAAGAGCATTCTCGGTGAGTTGTGCAGCTGCTAAGGAAACCTTCTTGGCATCATGGTACTGGTAGTAGTCGAAGATATACTCCATTCTTCTCTCCCAATCCACATATGCCTCGGGGTTGACTCTTCCAGCGAATGTGGGGGCTGTAAGCTTGATATCCTTTCCTCCAAGCCACGGTTGATCATCTTCTCGGCCTCTCCCTCTTCTAGGACGATCATGGTACCTCCTTTGCCTCGGGTTGGGATTGTCTTCCTCCAAACTCGGCATGTCATCGTCAGTTTCACTTCCCCCTTGTGTTAAGGGAGTCCCCTCTCGGTTTCTAGGGCCATTGGGAGCTCCGGCGGGAGGTGGTGGTGGCAGTCGCTGCTCCAACTGATTCATCCTAGCACTGATGCCTTGAATAGACTCGAGCATTTGCCTCATAACATCAGCTTGATCGGCTTCTCCCATCTTAGTACCTACAAAGTTTCAACGATCAAGTGCTTAATGGGTTCTAATATAAGTCAAGTAAAACAACAGCTTGTGGGCTATAGTCCTAATGCTCAATACTAGGAACCATCCTAATCACTAGCAAGGTAACCTCACAATGTAAAGACAATATGCAATTAATCCAAAACAAGTAAGAACTAATTCGCAATATGACCGTTATGGAAAGAGTTCTTGAACCGAATATGCAACTTTAAAGCTGAATAATTTTTTTATGAATTTTTTTTTTGTAAGATATGAAACAACACGAATTGATGCAATAATGAAACTTCTTTTGGGGTTTTTGAGATTGAAAAATCGAGTCAAAACAGTAGATAATGAAAACTTTTTATGATTTTTTTGAATGATGAATGAAACTAAGAACCAAAGCGAAAACTAAGAAAGAAAGATGCAAAGGATAGAGTACACCTGTTCAGGGAGCCTTTCGGCTCTGATACCAGATGACACACGCCTACTAACAGGTAACCGTGTAGGGATGATAGGATTGGGCCGCTGGTTGTTCAACTCTTTCGGCTTGCAATCAGTGGATGGACTATGGAAGGAAGTGGATCGAGATGGAGCTCAAACAAAGAGTTGTGCCACTCTATTTGTAAGAACTAAAGGATGAGGTGAATAGAAGGATGGAACGAAAGTCGCCACAAGGCTTTATGGATCTAAGCCTTGATAAGACAAAGAACTCTCAAGCAATGAATCACACAAAGCTTTAGAGAACAAAAGTTTGGTACTTAGCCAAGAAGTTCGATCTTTATTGATATGGTGAAAAAATACACGGCTGTGAGGGGACTTTATAAATAGTCCAAACAGCTTTGCCCTTCTAGGGGACTTGAAACAGATTACAAAACCCTTAGGTTAAACTACTTGGCTAACAATGCCTTAAAACGAAAATATAAATAAAAGGTGGCCAACATGCCTTATACTAAAGTTTAAATGAAATAAAAACTAAACCAAGAAAACAAAACAGAAAAGATTGATTAGTAGAACTAAACCATATTGAAATTAAGGATTCGGATCATACCTTGGTTTAGCTCCAAATGAGGCGGTTTACTTAGCTGACGTGATGGTGAATAAGGAAACTCCTTTGTTGGCATGAATCAATGGCCAGTCACGTGTATAACCTATGCTTTTGATGAGAGGGTCGTTGGTGATGTCTAAACCGCCTGCTTGCTCGTTGGGAAGGTCTTCTTGCTCAATGCCCTCCTCGTCTAGATAAGCCCTTGCCATTGCTGCTTCCTTGGCGATGCTTAGTTGACTTAGTTGAGTCGTGATATCCTCTAAGTGTTGGGAAGTGATCAGCGTCTCTACTGCTTAGTTGAAGCCATCAGCTAAGTCTTTAGTTCCTGATCTTGTTCTTGGAGCTTATCTCATAGTAGGGATGCCAGCTTCAGCTCCTAAGTTTGTATCACTTTAAGACATATAAAATTATAAAAATTAAAATAACAGATAAAAAACAAAGATTTTACATTTAAGCAACATGAAACTCAAATAATAAAATCATACAAAAAACTATAACTAAAATTTAACAACAAATAAAATTCTCTAGCGAAGCGTGAGTCAACCACTAGTACTGTATGAAGGAAGAATTTTCACTTTATTTTTATTTTTTTTGGTCAACAAATTCAGTTTAATTAAACAAAGAGAAACCATATCCTAAATTTTTTATGAACAAATATCAAAAAATTTATTTTTATAGTCGTTTTAAATTTCTTTCCGTATAGTCGATCTCTAGTTTTCAATCTCAAACTCATGAATCGGTGTCTTAAGTCTCATCAATCTGTTGGAAATAACATAGTCATGATACTTATATTAATGTTAAGGGGCCTTTCACTGTTACGATGGGACTAGAAGTAGGCTAAATACTATGCGGTAGACAGCCATATATCGTAACATTAATCTTCGACGTGTTGACAGTAAATGTTAAGCGGTCACTTCTGTCTGTGTAAGAAGACCAGCTTGTTTCAATATGTTAAACCACTTTTTCTTGTTAAAATTCATCATTAGAATGTAAATAGCGTAACGATGAAGCTATTTTTAATAGTTCATGAAAAATGGTTTTATAAACAGAAGACTCAGTTTTTTTTTTTCGGCCCACTAGGAGAAAGTAAAACTATGTCAATTAGCTCAGAGATGCAGAGTAGAATTTGTTTTAGGTGTTACGAGAACGTAAAACTATATGTCAATTAGCTCAAAGATACAGAGTAAAAAAGTTTGTATTTAAAAGAGAAAATTTTGTTTTAGGTGTTATATCCCTCTGTTCATAAATAAAATATGTTTTAGAAAGAAAAAAATTGGTTCATATTGTTAGATGTTTTCAAATTTTGGTTCATATTGTTAGATCTTACATCAATAATTAATAAAATTAAGGATAGAAAAGTTCTTTGTTGAATTTTCCTAAAATGTGTAAAAAACTCAAAACATAGAAACAGAGAAAGTAGTGTTATTAGGCTTCACCAGTTTATTATAATGTCACTTGATAAAACCACACAATATATATTTTTCGTTAGTTAAAAACGGATAAATGATAGATTTATTATGTGGAAAAAAAATTACGAGGGACACAAGAAACTATTTCAAGCACCGTGACAATTGTTTGTAACGTACCCCTCCGCATCGTCTTACACAGTTTCTCATCGCAGCCAAAAATGACCCAATTTACAAAAACAAATCAGATTATATAATTGACAGCTACAAGTCCTGTCATGTCAATGACCAACAAAGAGATGAAAAATTGTGAAGGCAAGCACGATCTGGTCGACACCTTATCATCACTAAATGACATTTCCGATTCTCATTTATCTATTATCCTCTTTTTTTTTTTTTTTCTATTTCACATTTTCACTTGTTAATCGTCTATTTCGTTTTTTTTAGTCTGAGATCCCAATAATATCATATTATTATCATAAAAGTCTACCACTTAGAAACTAACACAATTCTCCCACTGCGTGAGCATGTCTTTGTTACTCATGAAAAAAAAAAAGAAATGTTCACAACTTGATACACGTATTGTCAAACAGCAAAATGTTCACAACTTTACACGTACGTATCCATTGACTTTTAATTCATATCCTAAAATTAATTATTTTGCTGATCATTAGCTAATTGTTAATGAATTGGCGACCAAATATAGTCATTCAAAAAAAGAAAAAAAAAAAAAGAAAAAAAAGACAACTCAATTCTCCTGTAAAGTAAGTGATTTATTTTTGTTGTCTATTACCTGTAAACTAAATGATTTAAAAGAGAAAAAATCTATATTTCTTTAATAATGATTGAATTGAAAAAAAGGACTTGGTTTTTTAGATTCGGAATCGTATTCGCTGGCTTGGCCTAACTATTTGCTTTTAGTTGGCAAAGGATTCACATGGCTTCTCTTCACATCAACCAATATATCATAACACGTGATAACTGATAACGGACCCTTTTCTTGTTGATTTTCTTTCTTTTTCATTGTTTTTTTTTCCAGAAGATAGAAGAAGAAAGATCATCAAGACCGATCTCGTAGACTTTTCTTTCTTTCGTCTCTGTCCAAAAACCAGAAAGAAACTTTTTCTTCTCGTAGATCCTCGAGTTTCTCTACAATGGAGTCTTTGAAGAACAGAACATTGCTTAAGGTCATTGTCCTCGGAGATAGCGGGTAATAATTTTCTCAGATGATCGAGACTTCTCTTCTTGATAATGATACAAATAGAGAGTTTTCTTTTTTTTGTTCTTTCTTTTAGAATTCTGTTTCTTTGTGGATTTTTTGTCTTTTTCTGAATCTTTATTTATGCAGGGTAGGCAAAACTTCATTGATGAACCAGTATCCGTTTTTATATCTTTACCCTTCAAACTTATAAATTGGTCTGATTTGTATTAAATATTCGGTTTGTTTTATGCTCAAGCTCTAAATTATATCTATGTTTCTGCTGTCTTTGTAAGAAACCTTAACTTGTGACTTAAGATACGTGTACAAGAAATTTAACCGGCAATATAAGGCCACGATAGGAGCAGATTTCGTCACCAAGGAGCTCCACATTGAAGAAAAATCTGTCACTTTACAAGTAAATTCATAAAACATCCCTTGTTTCACAAATTAAACATTTTCCGATGCAGAAAGATCTTTATGGAACTCTTTTTTTAGATATGGGATACTGCAGGACAAGAGAGATTTCACAGTCTAGGATCTGCTTTCTATAGAGGTGCTGATTGTTGCGTTCTTGTCTACGACGTGAACAATCTCAAATCATTCGAAACTCTCAATACTTGGCACACGGAGTTCCTCAAACAGGTTTTGCCCTAACCTTTCCTTTTCTTGCGCAATAAGTTATAGCTACCGTGCATTTATTTCACAAATCTGATCGATTCGATCCCATTTTCTGATACATTCCAGGCCAATCCGATGGACCCTGAGACATTTCCGTTTGTTTTGATTGGGAACAAAACCGATATAGATGGAGGAAACAGCCGAGTTGTAAGACGGATACTCTTTATACAATTCCTCTTTATACCCATTATAAACCCTGATATCCGCAATTTTTCATACAGGTTGCGGATAAGAAAGCCATCGAATGGTGTGGCTCAAAGGGAAATATACCGTACCATGAAACCTCTGCAAAGGAAGATATCAATGTCGACGAAGCTTTTTTGGGCGTTGCACACAAAGCTCTCTCCAATGAACGTAAACAAGACAACGTGTAAGTTTGTATTTCAGTTTTGATTCATAGATATCTCTTTTCTAATTTTTCTCTATAAGGTTTCATGTTTGATTATTTTGTCTATGAATATGCAGATATTTCAGAGACATGTCAGTATCTGTTACAGATATTCTTGAGGAGCAGCCAAGAGGTTGTGCTTGTTGATTCATAATTAACATATCTGATCGATAATATCGATTCCCAGCTCTTTTCTTTTCGATCTTTGTTTATTTTATTTGATTATATATTTGGTTAATATCAATCATAGAGGTTTATTAACGAAAAAAACTGATATATGCTACGACCTGAGTGTTTTGATTCATGTATAGCATTCTTAATTAATTTATCTTAAAGTTTTTTTTTTATATATAATTTTATGTTAAAAGTTTTTGTTGATAGATTCATGCAACCCAAATTCACTTGGTACTTTTCAACTTATTAGTGTTGCATTGAATTTTTATGTTTGGCATGTAGAAAAGAAAACACATTTTGGCTGTTCTTGTTGTTCAACCAATTTTGTGGGATGTAACAAAAGAACAAAAGTGTTATCGCAGTCGCTCATGTAAATTTATATTGGAATATAATTAACATTTAACCCAAACAAAAAATGTAATTTCTATTTAGAACAATTATCTAAATTCAAACACAATCGCAGATAAGCAAAATTAATTTCCGTTCAGAATAAATAACAGTACATACAATAAAATCTCTATAAATTAATAATATTGGAATTCTCAAATTTTATTAATTTATAGAGTTATTAATTAATCGATAAATTAATAATTATTAATTTATCGATTATTAATTTATAGAGATATTTTTAGTTTGAATTTTTAATATTCATAAAAAATAAAATCAATTTTTTCAATAATATAAAATTTTTACAGAAAATGTCATAATAATAAATTTAGAAGATAAATCAAACAAGTTTTATAAACTTGAAACAACAATATTATCATAGTTTACTATATTATATTATTAATATATGTCTAAATATATAATTATTAATTTATATTATTATTGGGACTATATGTTTATATAGAACTTTCAAAAAAGTATTATCTTATTATCTTATCGAATTTTGTCAATTTTTACATACGCCCAACTTGAAACCGATAAAAATTATTAATTTATAATGATTATTAATTTATTGAGTATTAATTTATAGAGGTTCTACTGTAGTTGACTAATAGCTGGTGGCTTTTCACCATCATCTCTCGAAGCGGTATTGAGCTCAAATACCCACTTAATAAAATGGTTTAAAGTATTGGGATGACTAATAAAATAAAATAAACAGTATTCTAACTGTTTCATGACACTTTCATATTTGACCAAACTTTTTGACCGTGCTTGTAAATTACAAATAAATAAAAGCAATTTAGTTGGAAAAAAAAACATGTTTTATGACAATTTGTAGTTTTTAAGATAATTTTCAGTAATATATATGGGTTAGTGATTTTTTGATTAAAATTAAGAAAAATATATAGGCTCATGAATTTTTTGTATTAAAATTAAGAATATTTGTTTTTTTACTATTAGAAAATGCAATTAAAAAAAATCAAAACATAATGATTTTTGGTTTAATGTTTGAAAAAAATACTTTGTTAATTGATGATTTGAAAATGCTGCTATTTCCAAGGGTAAAAAACAAATTGCAAGCGTTCCAAATAAATAACATTTGCTATATACATATTCAGATAAATCTCAGCCGTTGATCACTAAATCTACGCTGTACAATCAAGCAGGAACTCCGTAAAATGGTGGCTTTACTTCTGGCTCCGTCGCTCAGTCTCAGATAGGGATCTCAACGCAGTCCAAACCCTAATTTCGACAAGCTCAGAGAGAGATTCGATTTGAAAAATGGCGTACGCTTCTCGCTTCCTCTCCAGATCTAAGCAGGTAATCTCTCTCTCTCCGCTGAATTCTTCTGATTCATTAAAATCCTTTTGTCTCCAGCGAACGACATCGCTATTTGCTTCTCCTTTGTTTTTGATTCGCTTCTTCGGTCTGTTTGACTCTTTTTTCCCCTTCGATTTCTGGGTTTTACGTGTTTGGATGCGATGATTAGAGTGGGATGATGGATTTGATTGTATCATAGGGTGTGTCGTTTCAATGTTGCCGTCGTGTGTGCTACCGAATTTCTGTTATCTTCTGTACAATCTCAATCGGAGAGTTTGTTGATAATCCAATTATAAAACTTTAATGGTGGGAATATGGATCCTTTGCTGCTCTTTGTTTGATTGCTAATATAGTTCGAAATGAAATTATGATGGTTTGCAGAAAGTACTTACATTTCTGATTTTCATCGATTTGCTGCTACTGATCTTACATTCATTACGCAGCTACAGGGGCATCTGGTGGTTTTGCAGCAGCACAATGCTATTCCAGTGCGCGCTTTTGCAAAGGAAGCTGCTCGTCCAACATTTAAAGGAGATGGTTGGTTAACAAACTTACATCTTTGATTTGCAATTTTGTTTTAGAACATTCTGAATTATTATGAAGCTGATACTTGCGATTTCACTTGGATTCCTTGCTTCTGGTTGCATTATTTAACTAAAAACATTTGCTTTCCTTTGTTTGGCTGTTCATGCTTTTGAGGTTAACATGGTGTCTGGTTGAGAGAGTGTCAAGTCACTTTGTTTATTCGAGATTTGTAGAAAAATGATGACCCTGTTCTTAAAGGCGAATATTTTATTGGTCAATGCATTATAATCTTGAGAAACTCACAGGGCCATGATAGCTAGGGACTGTTGTTCTGCAAGTTATCTTGTGAAGAAGTTGATTATCTCGTAACTTCTTTTGTTGAGTTTATATGCATTCTGATATGATGGACTATGTTCAATGTGTTGGTGAAATCTGTAGTGTGTGTTTAGAGTGAACCTAGAGCATTACTGTTTACTATATTATTAACTAAAGTTATACACTTTTCTGACAGAGATGTTGAAGGGTGTCTTCACGGAGATCAAGAACAAATTTCAGGCTGCAGTTGATATTCTCCGTAAGGAAAAAATCACCCTTGATCCAGAGGACCCAGCTGCGGTAAAACAGTATGCAAATGTCATGAAGACCATCAGGCAAAAGTAGGCATTTTGTTACCATTCTCTAGGTGTTTACTTTTCGATTGTCCCGTATCCAATTTCTCATATGGATCAGGGTTATTAAAATACCTTGTTAATTTGTTTGCTTGTTATGCGTTTTCCTGGTGTGCAGGGCAGACATGTTCTCTGAATCTCAACGCATTAAATATGATATTGAGAACGAGACTAAAGATATCCCAGATGCTCGTGCATACTTGTTGAAGTTGAAGGATATCCGCACTAGGTGAGTGTTTTTCATTCACCCATTTGGATAGTTTTCCTCACCAGTCAAGTTACTCTTCTTACGTTAGTAAATTCAATGTCAGTCTTGAATTATTTTTCTGCTTGTGATATATCTTGCAGGAGAGGGCTTACTGATGAGCTTGGTGCTGAGGCCATGATGTTCGAGGCTTTGGAGAAAGTTGAAAAGGATATAAAGAAGCCTCTCTTGAGAAGCGACAAGAAAGGAATGGATCTTTTGGTTGCAGAATTCGAAAAAGGCAACAAAAAGTGCGTCGTCACACTCATCAACTTCCATATAACAAAACAAGAACGAATAATTCCCATCGCTAATGAAATAACATGTTTGCATCTCGTTAATCTGAACAGGCTTGGAATAAGGAAGGAAGATCTTCCTAAATACGAGGAGAAGCTGGACCTCAGCATTGCCAAAGCACAGTTGGATGAGCTTAAGAGTGATGCTCTTGAAGCAATGGAATCTCAGAAGAAGAAGTAAGTTTTTTTCACTTTCTTCTTTTTGTGTTCTCATCTTCAGTCTTTTGAATCTTCATCATGTTGTAACACGATTTGAAACTTGCGATTCTTCAGGGAGGAGTTCAAGGATGAGGCAATGCCTGACGTGAAGTCGTTGGACATCCGTAACTTCATCTAAGGTTTGATCCTCAGATAACATTTGATTTGTTGTAAGAAAGGCAGAAGAAAGATCCTCTCTCATGTCATATTTTGTTCCCTTTTGCTGTTTTTGGTTTTGGTGATTAATAAGGTCTCACCATGGATTTGAAAATATACCAAATGGGGTCTAACTTTCTCTTGTGGTTATTACGCTTTGAGATTTTTAGACGCAAACGTGGTTTCATGTTTTTGATAATGGTGATAAATGAAATTTGAGAATGCTTAAATAAAAGTTGATGTTTCGAGTTTAATCCACATAAAACTTTACAAAGAAGCTGTTTTAGATTTGAGTAAGTCGAGATGACATCATAACTGCAAGAAAACAAAATTTCAAAGAGACGAATACAAATTACTATTAGTTTCAAAATGGCTATTGAACCAATCAAAATCCAACACGTGGCGTACTTGTGAACAATTATAAAGGGTGAGACGTATACAAGCTTTATACTGTAACTTGGCCAATCGCTATGTCGATTTCTCTGAAACCACCTTCTCTTCCCGGAACGAGAGCTTCTTCTCTCTTACTCAGCCGATTCGTCACCCGTCGAACGGCTTTCTCTCCGGTCAATTCTCGCCGGAAGCTTCATCCTTCCATAGATGACACATCGTTTTCCGGACGGAGAGTTGGTTTCCGCGCGCGAACTAGTATTACTGTTCGCTCGGTTTTGGAGACGGCGAAGAGTACGATGTCGGAAGAGCCTGAGCCTCCGGTAAGATTAGTTGCTATCGTCGGGAAAGGAGAAGTAAGCCCACTCAAATCCACCTCCTGGGACGAAGTTATGCTCCACACTGTAAGTGTTGGTTACAGTTACATTTCTGTATCGTATGATCTGATTACAATCTTTTTCGCAAAATCTGATTTTTTTTTCCATTAACAAGGTAAAGAGACTGAAATGGGTTGATGAAGGATACGAAATGCTCGTCTTTGATGATGAAATTCTGAGCTCAAATGATCAGAGAGCTATGAATCTGAAACAGGAGCTGGATCAGACTGATATATTGGTTGTGGTTGCTGTTAATAACCCTGAATCAGTGAAGTGGATTCAGTCAAACAGCAAATACATCAAGAACATAATTTGCTTCGAGTCTTCTCCTGATTTGATGAACAGGCTCGGAGGAATTGATTTTGGAATCGGCAAGAAGGACAAGGAAGCAAAAGAGGTTGTGAAGACAGTGGGAGATGCTTGGGAGCGTCGTAACTCTGATGATATAAGGTTCTGTCTGCTTGTGATCATCAACGCCTACATAAGACCAGTCCCTGTTTTGCAGAACTTGAGGTCCAAAGGGTTTTCGACGCTTGGTTGTATGGTTAAAAACTGTGGGCCTCAGATTTTGAACTGTCTCTTGGATCCGAATTGTCGGAAAGCTCTTCAGTGTTTGAACCAATGTAGTCCTGTGGATCAAGTGTGCAGTTACAGATGCATTGCTTCTTATGAGAGTCCACACTTTGAAGCATTCTCTCTCTGTGTACTACAGAAACACAACTGTCTAGAACTGGATGCGAAGATCCCTGAGAAGCCTTATGTGCCTCCCATGACGAGTTTTCGAGGGAAAGAGTTGTGTCATGAGACAGCAGAAGACTTGTTTGTCGGATGGTTAGGGGACTTGGATTGGAGCTGGCGTGTCGTGGCCGGACAAAACCCGGCTTATGATCAGTTCCCATGTCAGTACCAGCTTTTCTACAGAGGGAAAGGGAAGTCATCGTTTTGGTATGAGCCTGTGTTTCAGGTGAGGACGCTTGAAGGGAAGCTGGTGTGGAGAAGGAGAAGATACTCGGTCAAGAGAGGAAAGACCCCTGCGACGTTCCGGTTCAGTGTTTTGGACAACGGTGTGGTGTCAAACGAGTTTTGGACTATAGTTGATGTGTCTGATGATCTAAGCTGGGGACTGTTCCATTACAATGGAGCGGCTCGTGTTGCGGGACAGTCTTACACCGGGGCTGTGCTCGTGACGCCGGATGGTTCGTACCCGGCAGAGAAGGAAAAGGAGAGGTTACAGTCTGCGTTGGAGAAATGTGGGATTAAGGAGTGGGAACTCTTTGCTGTTGATAACTGTTCTTGCGAGAATCCACCATTGGGGATTCCAGAAGGTTCAAGACTACATTCAAGAATCAGCATCATCAAGGAACCAGACTCGGTTCAGCGTATAGAGATGTGAGAAAGTTTCTCCAGAGGTAAACAGAAGTTGAAAACGAATATTACAAACACAAGGAACCAAAATGTAGGAAGCATATATTGTCTTAAGACTCACCATCTTGGGTATATCTCGAGGAGATCTTGCTCTATGTACATAAGATGGATGTCTCGAAGTTGATCCTCTTTTGTTGCAGCTTCAAGGCCATCCTGTGCATGAACCGAAAAAGAATACAAAAATTGTTGAAATCATATAAAACAAAACAAGATATGATTTAGAGTGTTCTAGATTAATTCTTTACCGTAGAAGACATTATGCACTGTATATGAAACGCTTCCTTGCAGTGCCCGCATGAGTAAATCTTAGCGTTGCATTGTGATCCACATAGAGAACAACTCTTGCCTTCCGACGAATATGTTAGCTCGACTGTATGTTGATGTCGTTGATTCTTCACCATGTTCGGAAACCCAACACATTCTACATGAGCACTGAATCCACAATCAACACAGCCGTAGAAGGACGCACCACAACGTCTAGCACAAACACTACAGGCGCGAGTTGAATCTTCATCCCAAAAGTTATAGAGACAGTGAAAGTGATACTTGGTCGTTTCGGATAGTCCAACAGCTTTGACGCATTTGGAGTGGAAACTGACTTCGCATTTGCGACAACCATAGCCATACTCTGTAATGTTCAGTTTGCAGACAATGCATTTGGATCCACTTACAGCGAAAAATCTAAGCTTGTGATCAGGGTGAAGTGGATGACTGCGTAGTTTTCCTTTCACTTCCAAAGCTTTAATGCACCAAGGATGACACACTTCTCTACAATCTACACACGACACAATCTTCCCACACAGCCTCTCTTCACAAATAGTGCAAGTAACAGGATATGAGCTCGAAACAGTAACTCCAAATGAGCTATGGTTCTTGAGGCAAGACGTTTCTCGTGTCCTAACCATGAGTTTCTGCCCTCTATGTAACGTGCCAAGAAACTGGTTATCTTTCAAGAGGCATTTAACATGGAGTATAAAACTGCATATGCGACAGAAGAGGTTGAAGCCAGAGATTTCCTCTCTGCAAATGTCGCAATTCGTACTAACACCTGGAACAGGGGAATAGGCAGGAGAGTCAAAGGATGGTTTGCATGAAGCCTAGGCCTTTGCGGTCTGGAAGCTACAGGTCTCGCATTTACATGCGTTACCGTATATTTTCCCATCACATATGTTGCAATCTGCACGTTCATCAAGCTCGCTTAAATCCACGAATCTTAGCACATGAGTGTGGCTGACACCATTAACCTGGGATGTTATTTATTAACTTTTGAGTCAATCCAAAGAAGAGCATGTTGGTTTTGTTTATAAATTATGATAAAGAATCACACCATAAGCTTGTTTTGATCTAATTTGATGGTTTTGCAGTCATCTTGATCCGTTGGTCGTGTGATGCCTCCGCCACAAGAATACAGATCTTTCAGATACAATGGAGAAGGCGCTGCTCCCTGTTGATTATCATCAGTAAGAGAGTAGATGCTTCTCATTACCATCATCATCATCATCAAAAGTTAGTAATCGCAAGAAAATATCAACTCACCTTGCGTAGAATGCATTCAATGTGGCCAAGAAAATCACATTTTCCGCAAGAATAAACATGATGTTGTTCGCGAACTACCAACTCGCATACGCCACAGTACAGTACTCCAGAGAATCTACACATGCGAATGTTAACGAGCAAGTATGTTGAAACTCACATCTATCTATGTCTGTTTTTCTTTTCTTTTGTTTTCCAAGCTGGCCTACTAAAATCTTACATCTCACGATTCTTTCTAGATCTGTAAGACCTCTGCGTGCAGCGATAAACTGCCTAGGGAAAGCAATTAACAGACTTGGCATATCGAAACCGAGAGTGGTTATTGTCTCTGACACGCCATCTGTAGTGAAAGCTATCGAACCAAATATCAGCGCATTTGCTGAGGTATGAATGACCTATGCAACAACTCTCTCTTTCTCTCTCACTCTAACTTTCTCAGTAGATGATTCATTTCTATTAGCGGCGAGGTAAATCAGTTGCAATGGGTTTGGCAGGTTCTACATTTTGACTATAAGCTTTTCCGTGGGAACATCGTGCAACGCGGCCGCGGATTACCGATGTTAGATTTCAGGATAAAGGATTGGGGTCTGGCACCAAGATGGGTTGCGTTTGTAGATTTCTTCCTCGCGTGCCGTGCAAGACAAGCTGTGGTCTCCGGTGATCAGATCTAGAAAGAATCATGAGATGTAAGATTTTAGTAGGCCAGCTTGGAAAACAAAAGAAAAGAAAAACAGACATAGATAGATGTGAGTTTCAACATACTTGCTCGTTAACATTCGCATGTGTAGCGAAATATCATGTTTATGGAGCATCTCTTTGGCGTCCTAGCCTCTGAAGAAGTTCTCCATTAGCGCACAGCTCAGATCCAAGTGGATCTCGCAGTCTTTGCACTCGTAGAAGCTTCCAGAAGACATGTTCCCACACGCGCTGCAAATGATGTGACTTGGCCTCTGATCGGTTTGGCGAAGACGAAACTGCAGAGGGTGGTGCTTGGAGTGAAGATCGTGTGAGACTCTGTGAGGTAGAATGGAGCAAGTTTTACAGAGATCGAAATTGCAAGGCTCGCAGGAGAATTCGAACGGGGTCGTCTTTGTAGCAGATGTTGCAGATCCCGTTTCCGGCGAGTTTCGGCAGGGTTAACACACATTCATGGGAGACGTGCTTGAGCTCAGCCATTCCATCGGGTGGGAAGAAGAAGAAGAAGATCGAAATCAATGGCGGAGTCCGTCGCTATTTCGGCTGCTGCTGGGTTTTCTCGGTGGCGTGGCTGTCGAATCGTCTTCTTCTCCGGCGAGAGATGTCTGCGTTTTTTCTGTTTGGTACTCTCGGTTTAGGCTGGTTTATTTTAATCTGATTTTGCAAATTGTAAACCGCTTCCAATCCCCGGTTTTCGGGTTGGTTTTATATCTTTCTTCTCTGCCAACTCAGCCACTCGCATTTCTTCAGTATCTGCCACCTCAGCTTCGTTGACCACTCGAGTCAACAAATGCTAATGAAGATTTCCTGTGTAGAGTCAACAAATGCTAATGAAGATTTCCTGTGTAGAGTGGTTGCAAAAATTTAATTATTTATAATCTTTTTATGATTCTGAAATAAGAACTGAGTAAAACTGATGTGTTGCTTCTATGAATCTGAAACAAGAACTAAGTCACACAAGTTACTCTCTCAAGAAAAGACAATGAAAACATCAAAAGATAAATGTACAAAAGTTCAAAAAGTAAATTTAATTCCATTATTATTATAGCATCAAGGATACATAATTCATAGAATAGACCCCGGGAAGATTTTGATACAAATGCTTATGAAGATCGTAGTCCTCTCAGCTCTTTCGGCAGAGATGATCAAGAGACAATCAGGAAGTGTTCTCACTTGTTTGCAACAATCTCTTGTAAGAGATCTGGGATCATTATACGACACTAGTTTCACTGCATCAGAACATCCAGGCACTTTATCTAACACACCATATGTGCTATCATACGGACATATGTCCGATTGAGCTTCTGATGGTTGAAGAATCAATGCTGGGATTAGGGTTAGAAAGATAAACATCACCTTTTGCTTTGATTTCATTTTTGACAGGATTTGAAAAAAAAATGGTTTTCTTTATTTTGGTAAATATAACAAGACTTGGTATTAGAATGTTGTGTAGTGAGTTTTCCTATATATATATATATATATATAAGTTTGGAAATATTTTAAAAGAGGAAATAGGAAAATAGTATGATTTGTTACCTAAAAACTAAAATCTCTTAAAATCTAATAATTAAATATAGATTTTATTTTACATAGGATGGTTTTACTTCTTTCTTCTCTGCCAACTCAGCCACACACACATTTCTTCAGTATCTGCCACCTCAGCTTCGTTGACCACTCAAGTCAACACCCTTTCTCTTTGAGTCACGTAAAGAAATCTAAAGGATATATGTCACTGATGAATTTGAAACGATGCAAGACGATAAATCGTTTCAAAGACACGATGCAGCTTTCCCAAACACCTCTTCTTGACAAATATCACAAACAATTTGATATTGCTTGTCTCTCAAAGAAACGAATGCTTGTCTCTCAAGCAACGTCCTCTCCAGATTCCAGCGACTTTTGGCCCCTACCATCCCTAGAAAATGTTTGCCTTTCATGGTTCAAGTGACGTGGATGATATATAAATGCATGCATATACGACAAAACAGATTGAACCTTGAAAATAGACATGCACGGGATGTTCTACTATTGTGTTGATTGACAAAAATAACTCAATGAAACATCAAAAGGTAAATTTAGTTCATTATTATTATTATTATAATAATGCAAAGATACAAAAGTCAAGAGATAGACCCAGGGAACTTTCTCATACAAATGTTTATGATAATAGTAGTCCTGGTAGCTTTATCAGAAGAGAGAATAAAGAGACAATCAGGAAGTGTCTTCACTTGTTTGCAACAATCTATCGATAACCATCTGGTATCATTATACGACGCTAGTTTCACTGCATTAAAACATCCCGGCACTTTCTCTAATATACCATATGTTGATAACGGACATAAGTCTGATTTCTCCTGAGCTTCTGATGGCAGAAAGTCTGATTTCTCCTGAGCTTCTGATGGTAGAAACATCAATGTTGAGATTAGGGTTAACAAGAAAAACATCACCTTTTGCTTTGATTTCATTTTTGACAGAATTAAAAAAAAAAAAAAAAAAAACAAGGGGTTTTCTAGGTGTAGGTTTGGATTGTGTAATGCTGAGGTCTTTGTTTCGGTATATATAAACAAGAGTTGGTATTAATTAGAATTAAATGTTGTGCATGGAGTTTTCCTATATATATAAGTTTGGAAATATTTCAAAAGGATTTGAGAGGATTTGGAATATTTGGAAAAAAATTGAGGAAATAGGAAAATACTACGATTTGCTACTTAAATTTTAAAATCTATTAATTTAAATCAACACAACAATAATCCATAAGTCTCTTCATGGCTTGACACATCAGCATTTTCAAGCTTTTAAGAAATGACACTTCAGCAAAAAAAAACACCAAAAAAACCTTTCATTAATACAAGTCATCAATATATTTAACTTTTAATTTTAAACCCATTAAAAATCTAAATATTTTTTATTGTTAATTTTAGTTTTATTTTTTGGTCAAGCCCAAACCCAAATAATAAATAACAGCAAATAAAAAAACTTTGTTTTATTTTTTTGCCAAACTCAAATAATAAATAACAACAAATAATAAAATTAAATCTTTGTTTTATATTTTTACCAAACCGAAACTCAATTAATAAATAACAGCAAAAAAAAATTAAAATTTCTACCTATGTGTTTGCTTGATAGATACGTATATGATTGAAGAAAGTGTACACTCATTATCAACTATGTTTCCATAACAACAATGCAAAAAGGGTTATGTTATAATAAGCTCACACATCAGCAAAAAATTGAACCAATAAAAACATAACAATAATACATATTATTAACACACTAATAAAATCAATTTACTATTTTGCGACCTATTAAAAAGCCCAAAGTTTACAAAAAAATATGGAAGGCGAAAGCAAATGAGGAGAAACTCATACCACCACAGCTTGGAGATTCGCATTTCCACTGGTTACCGAGAACAAATTTTCTTGGGTTTGGCGGAAATAGAGAATTTCTTGGTTTTGGTAGAAAAATGTGATTTTCAGTTTTGGTAGAAAAACATAGTTTCTCGATTATGGCAGAAAAAAACGAATTCTCGGGTTTGGCGGAAAAAGGTGAATTTTTGGTTTTGGTGAGAAATAAAAAAAATTAATTTTGACGAGAACATGCGAGGGAAATGCAACTTTTCAATTTTGACGAAAAATACAATTTCTCGGTTTTGATAGAAAATGCAAATTTTCGGCTTTTGATTGATAATGTAATTTCTTGATTTTTGCGAAAATTTGTAATTTGACAATTTTGGCAGAAAATGCAATTTTTCGGGTTGATAGAAAAGCAAAATTTCTCGATTTTGGCGGGAATAAACAATTTCTTGGTTTTGATGGGAAATGCAAATTTTCAGTTTTTGACATATAATTTGATTTTTTTTGTTTTCGAGGGAAAATATGATTTCTTAATTTTTTTCGGGAAACACAATTTCTCATGAAATAATACAATTTTTGGTTTTCGCAGAAAATTGTAGTTTATCGGTTTTGGTAGGAAGACGTGATTCTTGATTTGACGAGAAAAATAATTTTTTTTTGTTTTGGTGGGAATAGACGATTTTTGCGGAAAAATATCTTTTTGGTTTTGAAGAGAAAAAACTTCTTTTTTTTTTTGCAAGAAGATGAAATTTTTTGGTTTTGGTGAAAAAACTTGATTTCTCTGTTTTGACGGAAAAACACAGGTTCTCGCGGGAAAATGTGATTTTTTTTGTTTTGAGGGAAAATGTAATTTCTTTGTTTTGGTAGGAAAATGAAATTTCAGGTTTGACGAGAAAATGAAGTTTTTTTGGTTTTAGCGGGAATAGACGATTTCTCAGTTTTGTGGATAAATATATTTTTTTGTTTTCTCGGAAAATGCAATTTTTTAGTTTTTGTAAAATGATAAAATTTCTCTGTGCTAATTTTCAAAGTTACAATATGTTTATAGTAAACAAAATTGAATTATTTAATTTCAACTAAATTGATATTTCAACAGTTCAAATAGAACTTTCTATTTAGTTCTAAAATAATAGTAATGATTTTGATATGAATATTATTGATTATAGTTTGGTAGTTTTAGAAACATATGTCTATCCTAATTATTATTTGAGAAGCATGTTTACTAAAAAATCCTATGTGTCAACACCTAAAGAAAAGTTAGTGTAAAACAATGCCATGTCATAAATGTGACATGGCAAATTTCCTAAAATAAACGAAATATTTTGATTGACTAAGTTAAAACTAAATAAATTTCATTTTTAAATAAGAAAAAAGTTTATATCATATGTGAATAAATTTTTATTATATAGCAAGAATTAGAAATTATAAATGAAACAAAAAAATAAACAGAGAGAAAAAATAAATTATAAGTATCTTCTTAGCCAACTTTTTTATTATAATATTGTATATATGAATAATAAGTAGAAATAAAAGTTAAAACGAATCTTACGACTTTGGTTTTATATACAAATCTCATGTTATATTTTTGATTTAAAGCATCTCCAACTCACCTTTATTTTTAATGTTCTAATTTAGAGGAAAAAGAAATTTTGTTATTTTTTTTTCAATTATAGAGGAAAAAATAATAATCTTTATTTTTTATAAAATAGAAATAAGTTGAAGAGAAGTCCACTTATATTTTAGAGAAAAAATAAAAAATACATCTGAGATGATCTTAATGTTAAATATATTATTAAAGGTTAAAACAAATGAGTCAAAGAAGAGAAAAAAAAAAGAATAGTTTTGATCGATTATATGTTTTTATTTCAAATATTTAAAAATATTATCTTATACATATTAATTCTTTCATGCATATATTTTTTTCAACATATTAAAACATTATTTCATGAATCAATTTTTTGTATATATTGTGATCCATTATATTTTGTATTAACAAATATATTAAAGTTAGGAACAAATCAATTCTTACTTTTTAATATAACAATCAAATATTAAATCATACACAAATAAGTTTGGATCTGATTGGCTTAAACGATTATGTTACAAAGAGTTTGTGGAAGCGAGCGATTGCGGATTATTAAAAATTTTGACGAAGAGATGAGCGGAGAGCTACCGGAGAATTTTATAAAATATTATTTCATAAATTTTATAATAAATATTTATTATATTTCTATTGAGAAACCGTATATCACAAAACGGTGAAAAATAAATTTTTTTGATTAAATACAAAACGATAGAAACGGTTTTCATGATTGTTGTTAAACATCAATAACTGCATCGTATAAAAACATAACGTTTGCAGAAAATATCAAAAAAACTTACCAACACCTAAATATTACAATTCACTTATTTCTAACTCATACCAAAATGCATAAATATACTTATTATTATTTTTTAAAAAAAATCAACCATAAGTTATAAAAAAATGTATTACAAAACATATACTTTGTTATTTTCTTTTAACACATAAAAGCCATACTTCGGTTTTCTTACAAATAGGCGTGTAGATATAAATATTAATTGTGTAAAAGTCAAAAGTGCATGCAAATTTATCGTGCATACATTTTGTTAACCTCGATTACACTCTAATTTTAATTTTAGTTGTTAGACAATTTTTTTTTTAAAAAAAATATTTATATGTCCTAAGAGCGGTGAGGTGGTTGGTACGCACGAATGTGATTTCTCTAAAAAAATCTTTTTAGACTTCTCTTCTCTCGAGTAGACTTCTCCTGTCTCGAGTAGACTTCTAAAAGACATTAATTTTACATAACTTAAAAGTGATTCAGAGGGACATTTCTCTCATTTATATCATATAACTTGTCAACCGAGTAGACTTCTCTTGTCTTGAGTAGACTTCTCCTGTCTCGAGTATACTTCTAAAAGGCATTAATTTTACATAACTTAAAAGTGATTCAGAGGGACATTTCTCTCATTTATATCATATAACCTGTCAACCGAGTAGACTTCTCTTGTCTCGAGTTGACTTCTGAAGTAGACTTCTCATTGTCTCGAGTAGACTTCTTAAAGACATTAATTTTACATAACTTAAAGGTGACAACATTCGCCCTCCTTTGCTATTCGCCCTCCTTTGCCAACATTCACCAAGAAGCTCACCATGTGTGCAACCATCTCTTAAGAACAACATTCACCCTCTTTTGTTATTATCCACCTCGAACTGCCACACTGATTCACTCTTAACCCATTCTCCATAAACAGCGGGTATGTGAGCCATTCTCTGTGAAAAAAGAACAAAATCTAAACCACATTAGACATCAAAATTGCATAATTAGACTTCTCTGAAAGTCGGATGAAGTCTACATAGTAGACTTCTACATTAGACTAAGAAGTCTACTCTTAATAAGCTAAGTATCATATAAAACATGAAAACTCATTCGACTATACGTATAAAATATAAACATGCAAAACTTATACATAAGCAAGAAAACTTAATAACAGAAGCTTAGGATCACGAAAATCTTAAAAATTCATTATATATTGTATAAAAATGATTTTTTTTTTTAAAACAAGAAAAGTAGACTTCTCGGATAAAAGTAGACTTTTCGCAGGTTAGTTTTGCAATTGCCAAAATATTAGTAGACTTCTCTATGAAAAGTAGACTTCTCGCAGGTCATTTTTGCAATTACAAAACATTTGACTTTTTGGTTCATAGTAGACTTCTCCGAGAAGTCTACTTACGGAAGTAGACTTCTCGGAGAAGTCTACTTTGCATAGAGAAGTCTACTCTACAAAGTCAAAGGTTGGTCAATTGCAAAAATGACATGCTTCTAAAGAAGTCTACTCGAGAAGTCTACTCTAGTTTTTTGTTATCAAAGGAAATTGAGTAGACTTTATTTGGACCAAAAGAAGTCTACTTTTTCATGCGGTCAATTGCAAAACTAACCTGGGCGTTGACTAGTAGACTTCATTCGGACCTAGAGAAGTCTACTTTCAGAGTATTTTCGTAAATAAGTGAGGAAGATGAGGATTAGTTGGTCATTTGGATTTCTGAAAATAAAAGAAATTAATTAAAAATAATGGCGATTTCGTGAATAACTGAAACTATGAAGGATTGTTTGGACACAAAATGGCAAATGTTGGGAAGGTGATTTTTGTGGGTTAGATTTGCAATTCAAATCAAATTTTAGGTCATTTTTGCAAGAATCCCTGCATTTTTTTATCTAAGGAAATATGTTAAAATCTTAGTTGATAGTTTTTATCTTCATTTTCTTTTAAAATCTTTAATAATTTATATTTAATTTATTATTTTATTATTAATACATAATTAATTATGTACAAATGAAATATTTTCAATATTATACTAATAATAATTAAACATATTAAATATTTTATAGCCTGCACACGGTGCAGGCCGATCACCTAGTAATAAATATTTGATAAACAAATAAATTTTATAGTTTAAAATAATCATATTAATTAATATTTTTTTAAATAGTAATTTGCTTTATATAATTTCAAAAGAGGATCAAGTAGCAATTTAGTAGAGAAAATAAATTACATTTACCATTAGCATGAAAGTACTTAAAAATATATTGTTTTATTCTTACATATACATTTATAGATAGTTAGCTAAACAAATTTGATAGTAGATTATAATTTAAAAAAATTAAAAAATTAATTATATATAATGTTTATTCAGATTTAAAGCATATAAATACATAACTTAAACTAATAAAAATAAATATAATATCTATTTACATTATAGAAATAATTTTATTATATTAAAAATATATACAAATCTAGAAAAAATATCCTGCAGCGTAGCACAGGTAAATACCTAGTCTTTCCAATAACAGTAGATTTGATATTTGATTGTATATTTTCATATAATAACACTGAAATTTAATATACCAAATTCTACATCGAATAATACATCTCCTTGTAGGTGAAGAAATTTTGCCTATACAACATAAAAGATTTGGAAAGTTTATATATATGATGGATCATGGATGTGATGGCATCACAGTGATGCTATCACGAAAATTTTATATTACCTTTTTTTTTACTATATTACCGGTTTCCACCGCAAGCTTTTCTTCTCTCAAACATAGAAAAATCATTTTATTTATGGTTTAAACATAATTATACTGACTGGTGAATACATAGTTTCGTTTGGGTTCAAATATGAATGAGACATTGCTAAGATGATCAAAGATAATTTTAGACAAAACCCACTTACAAAGCAGATGTATCCTCTTGTATGTATACAACCAGTCAGAGCTAAACTCACATTAAAGACTTCGCAAACAACATAATTAAAAGAATCCATCACAAAGTGAACACAATATTAAATCACTAGAAGATTGAAAGGCGTAACTCGCAAAAGAAATAATTCTCAGACAATCACTCTACTGTTTTGTGTGACAGCGTTCTAGTTCAAATCATGTGGAGAATGAATCTGTGAAGGACCGTTTTCCACTTCATGATCAGTCGTTGAATGAGCAAGAAGACACGTTACCAACACTCAGGATATAACTGTTTTGTTTCTGCTTTCCAACACCGAAGAACAAAATCTGATGAAACTGAAAACTGTGTGTATTCTCTAAAGAAAAGCAGAAGATCGAAGACAATGTGAGGGAATTATTTTTGTGATCGTATGTCTTGAAGAAGAAGATGATTGCTTTTCTTATATAGCTCAAATGCTCAACAAGAACCATAAAGTGGAGATCGACATTTTGATTATCCCATAATGACGTGAATTAGCTTAGTGTGTTACAAAAGGAATTATGTTTGAATTTGCCATTATGTGCTCAACATGAGAATCAATTCTCTTCAAGTCAAATTTTGGATTCCTAAAAGAAACTTTTTTTTTATCATAACTTAAGAGAGTAAAACAGAGATGTTTTAGTGGGTTCTCTCAAGTTATAATTAAATTATTGTTCCAAATAAGGAGCGATCGTTTTCTCGACGTGGAGTGGTTGCAATAATAAAATTATCTTTAATCTTTTATGAATCTGAAACAAGAACTGAGTCACACTGATGTGTTGGTCTTGGTTGTGGTTGTTGGTAACAACAGGAACATAATAATATGCTTGGAGGACTAATGGTGAACTATATAAGCAAAAAAAGAGGACTGAATGAAGATTTTACTTATTAAGGTGGACCAAGTCTTCATTCAAGAAACATGCAATTGAGTTTATGTTACTCTGGTTAATTATCTCTTCTTGTTCATATCTAAAGAAGAAAGGATAGTGATTACAAATACAAGATGGAATAGTAACTCAATCCCACATCGGTAATAATCGAAGAAATAATCTAATATATAAGGGTGTAAATCCTTTATTTTGATTGTCAATTGGTGGGAGATAGGAGTTCATGATTCATTTCGTGGAGTTGGGTCTTGATAAAAAATTTAACATCGCTCAAGTCACTATTCTATTGGATAGTCATGGGCCAACCTACTCTTACCAATTGACTATTTTAATTATTTTTTATATGTGTTTTCCTCTGACCGTTTTAGATTTGAAACATGTCTTAACTTTTAACAATTTATAAAATAAAGTTTGGTGCATCAGATTCTCACCAAAATTCAACACATCAAACAGTAAGCAAGTGTTTATGGCTGTAATGGAGCATTTCTCTCCCGTCCCAACGGGATGTTTTCTCTGCGTGGAGTGGTTACAATAATTTAATTATTTTTAATCTCTTATGATTCTGAAACAAGAACTGAGTCAAACTGATGTGTTGCTTTTATGAATCTGAAACAAGAACTAAGTCACACAAGTTACTCTCTCAAGAGAGACAATGAAAACATCAAAAGATTGTACATGTACAAAAATCAAAAAAGTAAATTTAATTCATTATTATTAGAGCATCAAAGATACATAATTCATAAAACAGACCCCGGGAATGTTACAATACAAGTGCTTATGAATATCGTAGTCCTCTCAGCTTTTAAGGCAGAGAGAATCAAGAGGCAATCAGGAAGTGTTCTCACTTGTTTGCAACACTCTCTTGTTAGCAAACTGGTATCATTATTATCCGATACTAGTTTCACAGCATCAAAGCATCCCGGCACTTTATTAATTATAACATATGTTCTGTCCGGACATATCTCCGACTGAACTTCTGATGGTTGAAAAATCAATGTTGAGATTAGGGTTAGCAAGAAAAACATCACTTTGGTTTGCTTTGGTTTCATTTCTGACAGGATTAAAAAAAAGGTTTTTGTAGTTGTAGGTTCGGATTGTGTAGTATCAGGAGAAGCGGAAGAAGAAACTCGATAAGAGAAAATGACTGTATTTCTGATTAAATTGTAACTGAACGTACAGTACTCTCTTATATATACAACTGTATAAACTTAATCTAATTGTGCCAGCTCAGACATTAGTGTTCACACTTGTTACTCTCTTATATATACAATTCTATAAACTTAATTTAATTGTGCCAGCTCAGACATTAGTGTTCACACTTGTACACACTCATAATATGTAGTCTTTTGTTCCGGTATATATACAGACAAGAGTTGATATTAGATTTAAAATGTTGTGTAGGGAGTTTTCCTATATATAAGTTTGGTAATATTTGAAATGGATATGGGAGGATTTGATATATTTAAAAACAAAATTGAGGATTTGATATATTTAAAAACAAAATTGAGGAAATAGGGAAAATAGTACGATTTGTTACTTAAAATTAATATTTCTTAAAATCTACTAAATAAAATATTTCTAATAATACTATATTTGTTATTTGATTGTACAGTACATTTTCATATAATACAACTGAAATTTAAAATAAATTATACCATATTCTACATTGGACACATGCCCCCTTTGTAGGTGCAGAAACATAAAAGATTTGGAAAGTTCATATATTTGACTGATGTGATGCTATCAAGAAAATTCTATATTACCGTTTTTCCATCGCAAGTTTTTCTTCTCTCATAATTATTATATTGACTGGTGAATATTTAGTTTCGTTGGATTCAAATTTGGATAAGATCATGGCTAAAGAGTAAAGATGATCAAGTTTATTTTAGAGAAAACCCACTTACAAGCAGATGTTCCTCTTGTAGGTAGAAAACGAATCAAAGTTAAACTCACATTAAAGACTTCAAACAACATAATTAACAGAATCCGTTGAAGGCAGATGAAGCAGCAGAGGACCATATCACTCAACACTTGAGTAACGATTTCAACACTCTTTCTTGCAGGTTTGAGATTTTCTTGCCCTACGTCGAGCCTCAACGATTCGCAAGACGTAAATGATTATGAAGATGACCAAAACCCGTCCGGTACGCTTTCCTCGAACGTTTCCTCTTTGGGAAATCTTTGAGTACGCTTACCTACAAGATGTATGTATGAAACATGAGTATTTGGAAACGTGAAAAATATACAACTGTGGAAACCATTTTCTTTTTAAAACAAAAAAAAACTTTGTCTAGAAGCATTTCAGAAACACAAACAACAGGTTACACTTAAACTTGCCGTTTGCCAGTACTCTCGAGCGTAGTCGTTTTCTCGCTTAAAAGAAAGTAACAATCTGTATAGCTCAGAAACAGGGTAACTAGATTTCGAACCGTAGAGGATGAGAGGGTAAACAAAACACCTGCAAGTAAGCTTTCCCAGAGCCACTCCGCAGAAGTGACCAGGGCTGACATTTTGCAAGGCCTATATGAATAGGCCACAAAAAGGTTGTAATTCGTCATCTGTTGTTCAAGGACAAGATTAGGTGAGAAGACATTATCCACACCATCGAATATGAGCATCATTGTAGCCGGAGGAGGATTACAATCTTGCCAGTCCATCCAATCTAAACGCATAATATTGCAATGGGCTTCTGTTTCAGTAAAAGGAAAGCATTTCAGTAGAGATACAAAACCCTAAATTTCCAGAGATGGATAACAAAATGGACTAACCGGGAATGGTGTGTGCAAGGGCGACTCCAGTGGAAGAGAGCCCTCGCAGGAGGTGATCAGGGGTTTGTTTGTGGTCGCCATAGGCAGTGATGGAGACAGGACCAGAGTAGCCTCGTTGCTTGAACGCCGCTTCCATACTCGGACGGACCCGACGAGCATCATAACCCTCGGGAATCGGACAGCCCTTCAAGTCCCACCACACCGCTATCTTAGCTGTCGCGTATTCAGGCGTCGCCGCAATGTAATTAACAACCATTCTCTCAACCTAAACACAGACACACAAGTCTTGATCCGCAAGGTTTCTTTTTAAGTTTGATGTACTACTTTATATACGCCAAACCAATGGGCCTAAATGAAAACCTCAACCTATACAAATCACAGACACACGATTCCTTGATCCCTAAGGTTTCTTTTAAGTTTGATGCACTACTGTGTATATACACTAGTCCTTCAACTCTCGGTCCGTAAGGGTTTCTTAAGTTTCATGTAATACTCTGTATATACACCAAACAACTGATGAGCCTAACTGAAAGCCCGTAAAGGCCCATTTTCACCACTCTCATGTTGTTTATTAACGACGTAGTTTTCTGATACGTACGGCATAGCTTCCGATGGTCGGAAAATCAAAGCTGAGATTAGAGTTAATTAAGACATCATTTTTTATTTACTTTTGGTTTAGTATTCTGGTTTTTAAAAATATATGCTGAGAAATATTTAATTATGAATAAGATCATATATAGACTTTAAGACAGAAGAAACAAGATGAACATGAAACCTCAAACGCAGCAAAGGATCATGAAACATTATAAAGAGACATGCTTGTACAAGATATAAAAAAAGGTAAAATTTAATTCATTTTTATTATAGCATCAAAGATACAAAAGTTATAAAATAGACCCTGGGAACTTTTTAATACAAATGCTTATGAAAATAGTAGTCCTCTCAGCTTTTTCACCAGAGAGAATCAAGAGGCAATCAGGAAGTGTTTTCACTACTTTGCAACAATCTCTCGTTAGCCATCTGGTATCATTATACGACGCTAGTTCCACTGCAGCAAAACATTTCGGCACTTTATCTAACGTACGATGTACTGTATTCAAACATATCGAATTCGACTGAGCTTCTGATGGTCGAATAATCAACGTTGAGATTAGGGTTAACAAGAAAAACATCACTTTGGCTTGCTTTGGTTTCATTTCTGACAGGATTCAAAAAAATAAAAGAATTGGTTTTTTAGTTGTAGGTTCGGATTGTGCAGAGCTGATGTTTTTGTTTCGGTAAATAAATAGACGAGACTGGTATTAGAAATAAATGTTATGTAGGGAGTTTTCTTATATAAAAGGTTGGAAACATTTGAAAGAATATGAATTTTTAGATGATTTTGGATAAAACAAGAAAATTGTAGATTTGTTACCTGAAATCTTTTAAAAGTTTCTAATTAAAATATTTCTAATAACAATGGATTTGAATGTACATTTTCTTATGATAACACTACTATTTTTAAAAAAAAAATTGTATCTGAATAACAGATGATTCCTTATTTTTAAAATAAATTACACCAAATTCTACGCTGTATACATCCCCTTTGTAGGTGAAGAAATTTTGCCTATAAGAAACAGACAAACCTGACTAAGATACTCCCTTTCTAGTCCTCTTATTTTAGGTATTCAAATACTTATCAGATAAAGAAAAGGAAAAAAAAAACATAATAAGATTATTTTATGATATTTGTTTTTTCAGAATTCATCTTGCATGACACCAAGTCAAAACATATTGACGTAAATAAACAAAACGGTAGAGGATGTTGAGAGTGAAAATCATAAACACACAAAAAATGGAGTATCAAATTAAAGATAAAAAGGGTAAATTTAATTCATTTTTATATTATATCACATCAAATATATAAAAGTTTGGATTAATAAAACTCTATTATGAGGATAATTTACGTATAAGGTCATATACAGGATATAAAACAAAAGAAACTTTGACCAAACAAAAAAACAAAAGAAACAAGATCAACATGAAACCTCAAAGACAGCGAAAGACCATGAAACATTAGAAGATATATACATGTACCAAAAGTTTATAAAAAGGTAAATTTAATTCATTTTTATATTATATCACATAAAATATATAAAAGTTATAAAATAGATCCCGGGAACTTTTGAACACAAATGCTTTTAAAAATACTAGTTCTGTAAGCTCTGTCAGGATATACCATCAAGAGGCAATCGGGAAGTGTTTTCACTGCTTTGCAACAATCACTCGATAGCCATCTGATATCTTTACCCGATGCTAGTCTCACTGCATCATAACATCCCGACACTTTATCTAATGCCCCTGTATTTGAACATATGTTCGTATTCGACTGAGCTTGAATCATTGTTAAGATTAGGGCTAACAAGAAAAACATCATTTTGGTTTGCTCTGGTTTCATTTTTGACAAGATTCAGAAAAAAAAGAAATTGATCTTGTAGTTGTGATCGGATTGTTCAAGAACTTGTTTCGATAGATAGATAAACAAGATTTGGTATTAGAATTAAATGTTGTTGTAAGGGGTTTAATTTTCTTATATAGAAGCTAGGAATTATTTAAATAGACTCTAGAGGATTTGAAATTTTTGAAAGAATTTCAGGTTTTTATGAGTTTTTAGATGATTTTGGTTGAAATTGAAATACTGTATTATTTGTTACTTAAAATCTCTTAGAAAGTTGACCCCCAAAAATACATTTTCAAACAATTAATAACATTACAGATTATACCAAATTCTACATTGAATACATCTCCCTTGTACGTGAAGAAATGTTGCCTATTAAAGATTTGAAAAGTTTATAATATTTGATTGACCTATATGTTGTATGGGATGCTTTCAAGAAAACTCTCTATTAGTTTTTTCCATCCTACGTTTTTCTTCTCTTATATATAGAATAAATATCATTTATGGTTTAAACACATAATTAGATTGACTGCTGAATATTTAGTTCTGTTGGGCTCAAATTTTGAGTAAGACATTGCTGAAATAATCAATCAATTATTTTAGAGAAATTAAATCACAACTTTAAACGTGTTAGTGACGACAACTGTTGAGAATGTAAACTTTTGACAAAAAAAAAAAAAAGGAAAAGAATCTCAGACACAATCACTCACTCTACTGTTCATGTCATGTGGAGAATGAAGTCTGTGAAGAAGGACCGTTTTCAACTTCATCAGTCGTAATAGCTCCATTACGAGACATGAGAACTCTGTATATCCTCTTTGAACCGACTTTCCCTAACCTTCTGTCATCTCCTGTTACCCCTTCCAAGTTCAAGTCCTCTAGAAGAACCTCCTTCTCATGTTCCTGTTCCCATTTTCGAGTTACTTCAGAAACCATTACAAACAACAAAACCGAAAAAGGTAGTTTGTTTCGCAAGGTTCACTTACCGATTTGTTAGGGTCCATGTAAACCTTAAGAAGAGACTTCATGGATGGATACTTCTTCCCCACTGCTACTGCGTATCTTGGCTGTACCTTTGGTATTGCTACTAACGCTTTTAACCTATACACCCAACAAACAAACACACCGTTGCTTGTTTTGAAAGACTTTAAAACAAAACATATAATTTAGAATGGTTATTACTCTAATTTACCATGGACTCTTAGTAATCAAGTGCTTGTCAGCTGAATTCATGGATGCTACCACACCGTTAGCACTTACTGATAACCAAGAACTCTTCTTCCTGTGCATCAGATTGTCAAGACACGATTAGTTTACTTCAAAACCAAACAGGAGAACACGCAAGGCCACGCGTATAGGTATTAGTACCTGAACTGGCAAGAGGCCAGGCTGAATGTTAAACCAGTAACATGTTCAGCCACCTCAGGATCGTCAACACAATGCCTGGAGTGCACTCGATCATAGTGAGTTGTTAATTTTGCAAGAACCTGTAACACATCAGATACCCGAAAGAAAATATAGTTAAGGACGCAAACAAAGAGAGTTTTGCTCAAAAACATGCTCTTTTAAGTACTGTGATACCTCATTGATAGGAGGCTGCCTCCAACCATTGGATTTTCCCGGGTTCTTCTTATACTCTTCCTTTTCTCTGTAAAACCAGATTACTCAGCTTCGTGACGGAACATTGACGCAGCACAAATTTAACTTAGCAAACTCACCTTTTGTTTACGTAGGTCATTAACTTATTGGTGAGGCAGCACACAGTATAAGATGGGTATCGGTCCTGTACTCTTGAGACTCTTTCTAGAAGACTTTCGTTAGCAACAAGATTACAAAACTCTTCCGCCTCATACACAAGTAATACATAAGGAATCTTGGTCCCTTCGGGAGAAAGCTACAACACAGAAAGAAGATGCAATTCAGAGGAAAAGAAAATACTCGGTACAGCAATTCACATAGTTTAACTGAAATACGGATTTTATAAAGTCCCTTCAACCCATAGCACAAGGATTCATTCTTTACATCACCTAATATTTTACAATCTGTAACATTCGATGTTAAGTTTTATGAAGTTATCTCATTCTTAAAGATGGATGTTGAAAAGAAGAAGAAGAAAAAAGAAACACTCTAGCAAAATGATTTTGACAAAATAGTGGATCTGAACAGAATAGAGCACATCGAACTTTAAACAATTATTTCAAACCTCATGCGAGTCTCAAGCCATTCAAAGAAAATCGAAGAGATGAGAATAAACAGCTTTGACTACCATCACTAAAAGGATGATGAAATGAAATCCGTAACAAAGAAGAGCATGATGCATAAGTCAGAGAAGAACCACAGGTTCAACTTACATCCTTGTCCTCACAATATAGAATTTCGCAAGTTCTGTGTTCTAAAAAAATCTCTCTTGTGTGCAAACATATTCCTTGTCCTCACAATATAGAATTTCGCAAGTTCTGTGTTCTAAAAAAATCTCTCTTGTGTGCAAACATATTCCAATTGGGCGATTCAAGATGCAAACAAATAAATTTACATTTTCCAAAACGTTCTACCTGAGACTCCTGTGGAATTGACATTGTCCACACAATGGATCTCTCAACTGGATTAGTGACTAGGCGGTATGAAATGCCTTTCTCTGCGAGCCTTGAAAGCAGAAATCCTATGTTAACATTTAAGCAAAAGCATTCAGTCTCAATACTTTAGTGATTGAGTAATATGTTGAAGAAGAGTAATCAAAGAATTTGAAAAGGTCATTACCTCCAATGGATCCTTCAACCACTTTAGTATCAATCTCGGCAACAATAGATTTAAGGGCTAACTTTCCCTTTTCCCATTTCTGCTTTTCCTTCTCCAACTTTTTACGCTCGGCTTCTTCTGCTTTCAGAGCTGCTTTCTGTAATTTCTCTTGCTGTACGATGGAAGCCAATTAACAATTGGTCCATGGAGAATACAAAATAGAAAAGAAAAAAAAAGGCATGTCAAAGGCACTCACTTCTTTTCTTAACTTCTTTTCCTCTGCCGCACGGATTCTTTCATCCTTTGACAACTTCTTTTTTGGCACTGCTTTACCAGAAAGAGATGCACTTTTAGAACTTGTGGTCTGCTTCCCTCCACCCATTTGCTCAAGACTTATGTCTTCTTTCTCTTGGTCAGAATCGACCTGATTTTCGCAAGTAGATCAATCAAACATAAGACGCAAAGCAGACTTTTTTACAGCTTGTAGTAATAAGATGCATATAACACACAAACAAATGATACATAGGAATCCCAAATTCTCCAGAGTTCTCTAAAAGAAAGCTTTTGGGGATCACAAAACGAAAAGACGCAGATAAGTATACCTCAACAGCATCGTTGGGAAGTGAAGATCGAAAACTGGCTCTCTGCATCCAATCAGTATTATTATCTGAAAGAAAACAGCAACCAGCAATTTATAAGTGCAAAAGAGAAAAACTCCTTTGAAAAACAATCATATTTTTGTAGTTGATAACAACTTCTCCGGCGTAAAAACACTTATATGCTTGTATCCAAGTCAGAGCTCCCCACTCACCGGAATCTTCATCAGTGGTTCCACACTCCAATCCAGTGCGTGGCTGCCTAAAATCAACAGGCATGGACTCATACTTGTTTGAGGTTTCAGGTCGAGGATTGTCTTCGGAATCAGAGTCAAGTGATATTACTCTTTTACCTGATGAAGATTTTCAATTCAAATGAAACATAGACAAGTATATGGAACTATTGTTAATTGAATGTAAAATCGAATTCATAAGTAAGCATCATCATCATCAATTCATCATAGTAGAAAATTCACCAAAAGTGATTCGTCAGCGAAATAGAACATGTACAGTAAAACCCTAAATTGACCTCCCGTAAGTTCAAATTCCCATCAATCGATAGATACTAGAGATGACAAAGACGGATTGAGAGAGATTTCTCGAATAGTAAGGATAATTTACCGGAAAACTTGTCTTCTCGGTGTGAAGAAACTCGAGCTCCGGAACACTTGACGACGGTGACATCGCCAGCGATAGGTGACTCGTCGAGGAGCAACGGAGTAAAAGCGGATCCCGGCGGTGGCGTATCGGAGCCCAAGTTCAGAATCGTAGGGGTTGGATTTTTTCGAGCCCTCTTTGACGGATACGGAGGTGGAGTCGCCTCATCGTCATCGTCGAGAATCAGAATGGGATAGCTCATGGCGAAACTCACAGAAAGAGAAAGAATTTGAATTTGGCAAAAAAGTATCGAGTACGGTTGTTGTGATTGTGAAGGCGGGACTCTCTACAAGAGAGAGTGATAAACATTTCAAGTGTTTGGATACACGGATAATTAGTTGGTCCAAAACGTTTTCAGAATTTTAACAAAATTGAAGTTGGTCATTATTCATCTCTTACTAAAATATGTTCGTCTTTCCAAATTTCTTTTCAAGTTATAAATTTTCATTTCAATTGAATTTTGGCTAAGTAATTCGAAGGTCGAGAATCGGATAAATCACAGTTCGGTGAAGTTGGAAGTTCATATAGAGATTTGTTCAAATTGCGTTTCCACTTTCCATTATCAGTGAGCAGTTCTGCAGTTTGCTTGTCCTCAAAGCCTAATTTCTCACAATGGATAATTATATTGCAATGCTACAAATACTCGAATTTCTCAAACCCAAACAAAAAAGATTGATACTTGCAACGATTTTGAAGTGGAAGCGCATAAAAACACTGGAAAATCTTAGATTTTGTAATATAGACATGAATAATTAGCTGAATTATTCGACAAACCAAAGAACGCAGCTTAAGCTGCAGATTTCAATATGAAACAAAAGCAATAAGCAAAACTCGAATGTTCTAAAGGAAAAAATTGAAAAGAAAATTAAAGATCTCAGACATCCAAGGAAGGAAAGGAGCTGCATTAGCTCTCAAGCCCGGCGAAAGGCGAAAGCTTTAGGCGGCAACTGCGAATGTTTTGAGAAACAAGCCTTTGGATTTATCATCATCGATACATAAGGACAAGACCAAGAAAGCAAAAAAAAACAAAACAAAGATATCAATAAGTCTCAGACATCCAAGGAAGGATGAAGAACAGCACTGACTCTCAAGCCCGGCGAAAGGCGAAAGTCTTAGGCGGCCACTGCGAATGTTTTGAGAAACAAGCCTTATGGATTTATCATCATCAACGACTATTACCAGATTTCAAAGAAAAATATACACAAAAAATATCGACTGAAGCAAAACACAAAAAGAAAAACGGAAAATCAGTGGAGAATCGAAGAGCATGAATTCGAATTGTACGACTTTTGGGTGGAGAAGAAGGGATGAGATGTTTATATATTGAGAGAAAGAAGAAGGGTTGTCCGATGATGATTAGGGTTTTGTTCTTGACCACAAGATGAACGGCTGAGAATTGTTTGCTTCTGTCGGGGCTCTGTGTGGGCTTTAATTTAATTTACTGTGGACTAACTAGGCTTAGCACTATGCCCATTCTGAAGAAATGGAAATTTTCAATTTTGTCGAAACACCAATCAATAGGTTGGGTCGGAGTGGCTGACCGATCGGTTGGCATAGCCAACGAACCGAATGATCCAACGACCAAATTAGCTCGGACATGTACTAACAAATTTGAGATAAGGAAGGAGAAAATAGTAATACAGTAAAAATTATATAAATTAATCTTCAATAAATTAATAAATTTGATAAATCAATAATTTTATCTGATTTAAAAATTTATTATTAATATTTATAAATTATTAAAATATTAAAGTTTTAACATTATTAATTTATAGAGTTTTATTATTTTTATTAACATAATCTCATTAGAAACAAAAATCAAAATACCAAAAAATGGTATAAACCAGGAATTTATAAACGGTTTGGAAAACATAAAAAATAAAAATAAAAAATTATTGAAAAAGCAAGATTTCGAACTTTCTCATCTTCTTATCTCGTTCATATTTTAATTTTTCTTCGACTGTATTTCTCACATCCAACTCTGCAATAACAGTATTTATTGATTACAAAAATGTTTGTACTAGCTTCAAATTTTTCTGAAATTTTAATAACAATTTATAGCGATCGAAAGTTTGGAACATTTATATATGTGGCTTTCACAATTAAACTAAATCTGCTGCTTTATCATATTTATTAAGTTGTTTTTCAAACTGTGTAATGAAATTATAAATAAAATATTATAGCTAAGGTCCAACTGTCTAAGATTACAAATAAAATTTGTTTAACTTTTACACATGTGTTACTTATACTTAAAAAAAGTCAAATGAAAATACAGGTTTCTTTAATTTTGTTCTATATTAATTAATACAATTCTGTTTGGATATAACGATTTCAGGTTAATAGTCACGGCCCACCCAATATCCATCCAGAATAGTTTTTCATTTCACTTCCAAATATGGACTGGACTATAAAACCAAGACTTTTTTCGATCCTAAATTGTTTTTCTTTCTGCTCCAAATCTTTGATATATGTTTAATATTAGGGAAATTAGCTCATATAACCATATCAATACCTATAATTCAGAAAATAATCATATCAATATAAAAGTTATTATATTCTTTGTATATTATACAATATATACAAAATTGTTCTTAGTTGTTTTTCTTTCTCTTTTGATGTTTTCTTCTTTTTGCATCATTTTCCCCTCACTTCCCCTCTCCTCGTCTCCACTCATCCCATCTCTTCTGCTTCCCTTCCCCTCTCCTCACCTCCTTCCTTCCTCTTTTACTGTCTTCTCTTTTTTTCTCTCTCTTAATATAGTATAGTAAATATAATTAAAATTTCAAATATTATACTATATTAATTTTGTCGTGTAAGACCATATATTATAGTATAGTCCGAAAAAATATTATTTGTTATAACCAAAACAATATTCTATATATGTTCTCGGTTTAAAACAAAAAGAGTTTTTAATCTTTTTAATGTAGAGTATGATTATTTTTCATATTTTTTGAATACCATGACTATATTCTTGTATTCTTTTACAAATATGATTAGATTGCAAATTAAACCTTAATATTATAGGCCGAGACTTCCTATAAAAGAATCAGATAAACATTTCGTAATATTTATTTTATTTGGATACCCGTATAATTGGTTTCCCAAACGTTTTCAAAATTTTATTTTATATCCGAAGGACCTTTAGCATAATGAAGTTGCCTTGGCTTGTACTTGTTTCCTACAAAGGCCTTAGCATCATCATCATATATATTATCGTTACATAACCTTATTGTTCTAAGACAGAAGAGAACTTGGATTACAACACAAAACTCAAAGCAACATTATTAACATATACAAAATCAACGAGCAGAAAGCGACCGATAGTCCAAAAGACATGCTTTTACGTTTTAGCTTTGAAAGACCAAACTTGCCAATTTTAACTTCCACAGGCGAGACAATCATCAGGGTTTGTCAAGGAACAAACCATCTGTGCCATTTTAGTTTCATTGTCTTCTACTTCTTTTACTTGGTTGTCTCCTTCAGCTATCACACTCGGCTTCTCCTCCTACTCCAACAACAACAATTCGCAGGTAAATAAAATTTCTAAACTCAACAGGAAGAATCAGTTTTACGAGTGTTGTCTTGTTGTGTTTCTTTTACCTTGAGCATGGCTGTATCAACTGTGAACTTTATTGCGTCTGCTGCAGCACGTGATCGCAGGTAATACATCCCAGTTTTCAAACCCTTCAAGGTAGTAAGATAAGATATTACCCACAGGACTAAAGACTACTACTTATAATATCATTACTAGTTTTCGAAATTATGAAACGAGTTTAGTATATGTTTAAGGTAAGCTTGTACCTTTTTCCACGCATAGAAATGTAAGGAAGTGAGTTTTGCGAAATTGGGTTTGTCCATGTGAATGTTCAAACTTTGGCTTTGATCTATGTAACATCCACGATCAACAGCCATGTCCACCACCGTTCTCTGCTTAATCTCCCAGACAGTCCTGTGTTGTAACGAAGGAGTAACAAGTCAAATCTTTGGTATCTGAACACAGAAGTGAGTGAGACCACAAATTAAAGTGAGAGTTGTACCTGTAAATCGCCTTCAGGTCATCAGGTATCTCCGGGACATTTACTATCGAACCATTCTCATGAATCATCTTGTTTTTCAGCGTCGGAGTCCAAAGTCCCATATCAGTTAAGTCATGGAGAAGATGCTTGTTCACCACTACGAATTCACCACTGAACAAAGCAAAGACTACCCAATGAGTAAAAGCTAGAAGGGAAAACCAGAAACATACATACATTTTCAGATGATTTGATCATAAACCTCAAGACTCTGCGGCTGTAAATGTTTGAGGTATACGGCTCAAAACATTCGTTGTTACCAAGAATCTGACTAGTTGAAGCAGTTGGCATAGGTGCCACTAATAGAGAGTTCCTCACTCCATTCTTTGAGATCGCATCCCTAAGCGAAGCCCAGTCCCAACGGCTTGATGGAGTTACATTCCACATGTCAGGTTGAAGGATTCCCTAAAGATTCATCAAATAAAGTCAACCAAACAATCCACAATTGGAGGTTTAAAAGATTGGTCAAAGGATATTGAAATAATCGCGGGCTGAGATGCATACCTTACTCACGGGACTTCCTTCGTATGTCTCATAAGCACCATCTCTAGCGGCAAGCTCTGAAGATGCTTTGAGTGCATGGTAGTATATGGTTTCGAATATATCCTTGTTCAGTTGTTGAGCCTGAGTAACAAATCAAACTGCTTAGAAACCGCGTACAAAAACTTATACTAAGTGTTGATCATTACGCAAAAGCAAATCTACCTTTGGAGAATCAAATGGCATTCCAAGGAGGATAAAAGCATCTGCAAGACCTTGAACACCAATACCAATAGGTCTGTGACGCATGTTTGACGTTTTGGCAGTTTCCACAGGATAGTAATTCACATCTATGATCTTATTGAGATTGACTGTAACAGTAGCAGTCACCTGGCCACATAGGAAAATAAAAAAAGTCAAGATCATATCAAAGACAGCGAAATTTAAATTTTGGTAAAGATGATGTTGAGTTTCAGATTTCAAGTACTTAGTATCTAACCTCTGCTAACTTGTCAAAATCGAAGTAACGATTCTTGTAGCCCAAACTGCCAGCAATCTTAGATGGATGAGAGTCCAATGGGACGTCCTGTTGTGAGATGAAAGAATGTTAAACGCTATACATTGAGCTGCAAAGAAAGAGTAAATTCACAGACAAGTCTCTCACTCACCTTCTCTCTTACAAATCTGGGTAAAGCGATAGATGCAAGATTGCACACAGCAGTTTCTGTTGGACTAGTGTATTGAATGATTTCAGTGCATAAATTGGATGACTTTATGGTGCCCAGATTTTGCTGATTGCTTTTGCTGTTGCATGAATCCTGCAGTAGAGTACCAAAATCAGCAGTAAGAACCAGTGTCTACATGGGTATAACATGAAAGCTACTGAATCATGGACGTTACTTACCTTGAAAAGCATGTATGGTGTTCCTGTTTCAACCTGGGATGTCAAGATTTCATACCAAAGCTGTTGCGCCTGAACAACCTTCTTGGCTTTGCCCTAAAGAAATTAACAGACATAATTGAGTATAAAAAGAACTCAAGAGTTACTAGGAACCAAAAATATACAAGGAATGAAATAGAGATTCACCTCTTTTTCGTACTTAGTGTACAGTTTCTCAAATTCGGCTCCCCAACAATCTGCTAAACCAGGAGCTTCATTAGGACAAAACAGTGACCACTGTCCATCACTCTGGACCCTCTCCATGAAAAGATCTGGAACCCAGAGAGCGTAAAACAAGTCTCTAGCCCTGTGTTCCTCCTGTAACGGGAGAAAAGTGTATTTAGAGGTTATATATCAGGCCAACATGCAAAATTACATTTTGGGAGAATATGGTGAACTATCTTGGTTTGATTGTACCTTTCCATGGTTCTTCCGCAGCTCCAGAAACTCAAAGATATCAGCATGCCATGGCTCCAGGTATACAGCAAAGGCTCCTTCACGAATAAACAAATTATACATCAGATAAACTAGAGACCATACACTTCACAGATGATAACGCCAAAAGTTAGCAAAAGTATAAGCTGAGATGTATACCCTTTCTTTTGCCTCCTCCTTGGTCAACGTAACGAGCAGTATCGTTGAATACACGCAGCATCGGAACAATACCATTCGACGTTCCGTTCGTGCCACGGATGTAACTCCCAGTTGCACGGATATTATGAACCGAAAGACCAATACCCCCAGCAGATTTGCTTATTACAGCACACTCTTTCAGTGTTTCGTATATACCTTCAATGCTATCATCTTTCATGCAGATCAGAAAGCAGCTGCTCAACTGCAAATTCAATAAACACGCATTTTACAAACACATCCCCTCATGAATGGATACACATAAATAATGAAGAAACAGATATACATACCTGAGGCCTTGGTGTTCCTGCATTGAAGAGAGTAGGGGAAGCATGAGTGAACCATCTCTGCGACATCAAATGGTAAGTCTTGATTGCGGAATCAATGTCGTCCTTGTGGATGCCAACAGCGACCCTCATCAGCATGTGTTGAGGCCTTTCGACAACTTTCCCTTGGACTTTCAAGAGGTACGACCTCTCCAGAGTTTTAAACCCAAAGTAATCGTATTCAAAATCACGGTCGTAGATGATTTCACTGTCCAGACGAGCAGCGTTCTGAAGGAAACCAAGGCAAAAAGGCACAATTCAGTGATATACAAGTTACATCCGATGACATTTTTCATAAATCTATACTATATCACACCTAAGAAACAGAATTGAGAACCTAACACAAGCTTACCTTCATAATAATCCCAAACACATCATCAGCTATTAGAGGAGCCTCTTGCCCAGATCTCTCACTGACATGATTGAACATGTTCTTAACCCTGAAAATTACAAACAATCCATCAAAGTCAACTCATACGAAACACAAACCTAAATCAATATGTAAGAAGAAAAAAAATCCAGGATAACACACTCACGTCTCAGAAAATGATTTCTTAGTGTTCTTGTGAAGATTTGAGACAGCAATCCTAGCAGCAAGCTGAGATATAAACACAGAAAACACGTAAATCACACGAATCATGAAGTAGAGTGAATAGTTCCAACATCGCAATTGAAAAGGCTATGCGATTCAATCATACGAAACATCAATCCAATCGATTCTATTTCCAGAAATGACTAATCAAAATCAAGCGATACCCAGAAAGCAAATCATAGAGAGAGGAAGATAGAAAACAGATTACTCACAGATGCGTAATCAGGATGGTTACAGGTCATAGCAGCAGCAGTCTCGGCAGCCAACTCGTCGAGTTGACTCGTGGTGACTCCTTTGTAGACACCGGCACAGACTTTCTGGGCAACGAGGACAGGGTCGCAGTGGTCACTGCTGAGCCCATAGCTAAGCTTCTTAAGCCGCGCGGTGATCTTATCGAAATGAACGGTTTCCTGCCTTCCGTCGCGCTTCACCACATACATGTTTCTATCTCAAGAGGGAAAGAAAAAAAAGTAAATCTCTCAGAGGAATTCTGACGAACAAATGATATGCGTCTGACGATAAGAAACAGTGTCGCTGAGAAGTGAGAAGGAAATGGGTTTTTTTATAATAGAGATAAGATGGAGGCGAGAAAAGAGGTTTTGGGTTTCGGTTTTCAAATCTCTAGGGTTTATTGTGATTCCTCCTATCTACTTTGTCCTTTAATGGCCGATCTTTTCGTCCACTTTCCCGGGAAAATATTTAGGATTTTCCCGCCAGCTTCTGTGAGAAGCCATTGGGCTTTCTTTTTCAATTTCAAGTGGCGGGTAAATTAATTACTTCAAATTTATTATGGTTTTTAATGTGGAACCGGCCCATCAAGTTAATGTGTCTTCGAATGGGGCCCAACTCTTTTTTGAGTGAGATTAATTTTGTATTTTTCTTGTTTAAAGTTTAAACAACATAATTAATAAAATTAAAATTAGATAAATCTAACATTCGTGCAAAAGAAAATTGATTTCCCTGTTGAATAATTAGGGGTTTTCAAAGTCTAATAAAGGACACGGTTTTCAATCTATCTTCTGCGTAAGACAGTCTCAAATTATTGGAAAAACTTGTTCAAAATTTGTAGAACACGTATACATTTGATGTGTTTGTTTCTTTTTTAATTTGATTTTCTGAATCAAAACCATGTTTGAATGCTTCAGTTGCACACTTGCACGGGATTAAAATATGGCATTGGCTTAATTTTTAAAATTATTTTGGTAATTGTTGTAGATTCATTTTAAACAAACTCTGAAAAGGTAACAAATAGTAAATTCAAAACGAAACCATATGCACGTAGTAAATTTTAAAAATTAGGAAAACTTAGTCTACTATCAGATCCATATACTACAACATGCAATTTGAAACATGAAAAGGAAAAAAATAGCAGCTCATCTCATGTGGGTACATATATATACAAATTTCATCTCAAAAGCTTCAGAAACTATATAATATATCACAATTTTTCAAGCTCCAATGTTAGATTAAGCATTATATACATATACAAAACCATTGTACAGCTCACAAAAAGCGATTAACAAGCGTAATTAACATGTAATTAACCATCCCCCTTTCTTCCATTAAGCCCTAATCTTCTTCGTTGCTAGGTAGATACTCTCGAGAGATCGAAACTTCTTTTCCTTCATCTTCTTCATCTTCGTCTTCATCTCCACGCCAAGATTACAATTCCCTTTTACGCCGTCGTTTTGCTCGCTTCCGATTCTCGAGCTAACATCTTCATGCCTTCTCTTGCCTCCTCCTCTTTCGCCACCGCCATCTACACCGGTGCTGCTGCTACAGCTCACCGTTTCTTCCTCGCTAAGCTGCATAAGCTGTTCCGCCGCCGCCATCTCCGTCTCCGAGAACACCATCTCGGCCGATTCTCCAGAAAAGCCTGTTTCTCCCATTGGATCGTTCATGTTCCGAAAACTTAATTAATCTGGGAAAAAATAAGAACAAGAAAAGCAATAAACAACAAAACCAAGAAATTAATCGCGAGTCGATTGATATTTATTTTAAAGTTTTTGTTTCTCCTTTTTATTATCTTGTCGTTTTTTCGTTTTGTGCAATGGAAAAAAAGGAGAAACTACAAAGTCGGTTTCGTAAGAAGAAGAACGTGTCTTCTGATATTATTTTAATTTTAATTAACGAGTGGGCTGATCTCATGCACCCGTGTGTATCGTATATCGTAGAATCTGATCCGTCTAAAGTTTATTCTCCACATGACGTTTTGTCTCGTTGATCCAACGGCTATGCAAGTTTGCTATGTTACTTCTTCAATGAGGTTTACTTTTAGCTTAGAGCAATAGATGCATTTGACTTCTATTACACGATTTGGTGGGTTCCACGTAAGCCATTCCGATTCCAAATATGGAGTTGTCACCTAAGTGGGTCCCTATTTCTTTCATCCACGTGTTACAGTCTCATACGTTGAAAACATACTCTTTTGTGGAATCAATTAAATTTTTGGTTAAGAAAAATTACTATAACAAATTTTCTCCTTTTTTGTTGAGAAATATAACAATATGTTCTATAACATATTTTTTTATTGTCTTCTGTCTATTACATCTCTGGAGTATGAACTATGATCTACCATTCAAAACGAATGATGATTTATCTTTTACAAAGAGACGAAACGAACATAGTGATTTTTAGTTACTTACAGTCATTCATGATTGACATTTTTATTTGTAAGCCATAATACATGCATCACGTTATAACTTTTAACTAACATTGCATGATAAATTTTCCAAGAAATTACATATTAGGAAACCGATCCGTGTAGAAGCATCAACCATTGGATGAAGAAAATAAATTTGAACAGCTCAAAATAACAGAAGAAATTTGACTTCAAATAATTCTACCTTTTGGATTATAATTTAATAAGACTATTATATCTATCTAAAATAACATTAACTGGATTATCTGGTTACATTAGCAAAGAAATTAAAATAAAAAATCTCAGTAAGAAAAATCCAAAGGAAAATAAAAAAACACTACAAAGGAAAAGAATTAATTAACGAAGAAAAACTAAGACGTCAAAAACTGCACAGAGCTTATTTTCTCCAAGACTAACACGTCACCATCATTATCTTCATCAGCATAAAGCTTCCATCAAGACTTTTCAATAATGGTTGGCACTCTATCTTGTTTCCCAAGAAACCCTTTGAGGAATGGATACAATTGAACAATCACCCAAAGCGCAAAGAACAATCTCCCAAAAAGCGGTCCCCACGAATCATACCCGTTATTGATCGCATCCAAATTCCGACAATGACTCCGATGATGTTAATGATCAATAGAGTAGTCGGAGGAATCAACAAAGACGTCCACTTGAAGATGTAAAGCTCCGAGAACTCTCCATCGTCTGCTGCTTTAGAATTGACTGAAGTTTGTACTGACTCCGGCGAGAAGACAAATGGCTGGGAGTGCGCAGTAGACAAGCAAAGGGAGGGATGTCCAAGGATACACGACGGAGTTGATGTAAGAGATTCTCTCCAACCATTTCAAACCGCCGCCATAACCATACCAAATGGGGCAATGCCTGCTCATGAAGATCTCGACAGAGCCAAGTGCCCAACGTAGAACTTGATGAAGACGGTCTGACAAGTTGACCGGAGCAGATCCTTTGAAAGCCGTTCGCTTAGGCATACAATACAGAGATCTCCATCCATGGCAATGCATCTTGAAACCCGTCAAGATATCTTCCGTGACCGACCCATAAATCCAACCAATCTGCGTGGCGTTACATCATCCAAAAAAAACCATAATAATGAGCTTTTCATACTTAAGTGCAGAGAAGTAGTTCATAGAGTATATAGAAACTCTCTACTTACCTCTTTTCTTAGGAAATGATGAAGATTAAAAAGTAGAAGCATCATAAGCAGAGAGTCATTACCTGAATCATCCCAGGATGGTCCCGGACATTGTTCCCAGGCCAAAGAGTTCCATCTTGCATTGTCCAACCATCTTCAGGGACTTTCTGTGCTGTAGCGACCAATGCATTTATCTCTACTTTGAATTCCTCATAGCTTCTCTGCAGAAAAATGGACAAAAAGAGTCAAGCTTTATAATCAAATTCGTTCATTTTCTTTTTTCAGGATGATGAAACAAACAAACCTTCATCTCACGGCGTTCCCTAACAAAAGCTGGATGGACTTTATGCTTCGAGTAATCCATCTTTTGCGAAAAAGTACCACTCAGGAGCTCGTGGCTCGATGCTACAGAAAGGAACCCATTTTCTTGCAAACTCGGCTGTGTAAGAGAGAGCTTCAAATGTAAGCGTTGCATCACCATCGTCAGACACATAACAAGCAACTTTCTCCGCCGGATAATCAACAGCGAGGATAGATAGAACCGTGTTCGCTGTGATCAGCGGCGGCTCTTTCAACGGATCCACAGTACTGACAAAGACGTCGACGGGCGCTAACTCTTATGGCTTACCTTCTTTCTTATACCTGAGTGAGAGCCTGTCGAGATATGTTTCTCTTTGGATTGGATACCATTTTGGAAACTGATCAAGAATCCAAGAAACTGCAAACCGAACGCATCCTTCACCGGATGGAGAATCCTATAGTGGAAGAACAAGCCAAAAATGGCGAGCCGGCAAAAGATCAACATCCTGTAAGAGTTTATTCTAGTCGAACGAATGGGTAGCTTCAGTGACAGACGCTGTCTTCCTTCATCCATCCTGAACCAAACATCCAAAATTTTCAAGAAACTCTAATCGAACACTACACACTATGCAGGAAAAGGTTACCTATCTTTATTGTCTTTTTTTATTTGGTATTTGTATGGAATGGGAATGCCGATTTCTTCTTATTTTCTTTATTATTGATATGAATTCTCTTGTTAAGACCTTATTTAACTAATCAATTGAAACCTCAGATTCATACGAGAAATTATGAAATTTCCTTACTTCATATAGAAAAAAAAATATAGATTATAATAATATTTATTGAAAAAAAAAACTAGCTATCTAAATCTATTACTAAAAAAAGTTGATGCTAAATGCCTTTAAGGATGTCCACATAGGATTAATAGATTCAATTTTATTGGTACACATCAGCATTATTTGTAGTTAATTATATATTGTATATTAAAATTAATTAATTCATTTTTATTGTTATAAAGAAATTTTTTAAATTTTAATTAATTTTATTTTTGTTGTTATTAGGAAAATTTTCAAATTTTAAGTTAGTTATTAATAAGAAAAAGTTTATTAAGTAGATTTTATTTTTCTATTAACAGAAAAAGTAAGTAGCATATAAATATCTTTAACAAAAAAAATTTAACTTATAAAAAAAAATTAAAGAAAATCATATATATTGAATAAAATAAATAAAAACCGTATTTAAGACCATAATTAAATTATTTCAAAATTTTAATCAGGACAAACAATCAAAATCCGAACTACTAACCTAAAATATATTAGTTGTGATCCATGTTGATGTCTTATGCCAATGAGAACGTCTACATATGATGTAGAAACTCAAGCTGATTAGTCCACATCAGCATTTTTATTAAACATAAAAATGTTAAATATGATTAATAATTTAAATAAATTAAAACATGCAAAAATATAAAATTATCATAGTGAATAAAAAATTAAGACTAAAAATTTTAACTAATAAAACAGATAAAACAAAATTATGTCAAAATCAAAATTTATGTTTGTCAAAATAAAATAGAAACTATTGTCACAAAAGCTAAACTAACAAAAACAAATATGAAAATCAATAACAAACAAGTTTAATTAAAAAAAAAGAAAAAACTAACATATATATTTTATATGAGTATTTAATTTAGAAGATAAATGAAGATTAATTATTTTATAAAAACATATAAAATTATTATTTAAAACTATCAATACTATCAAAAAAATTTATCTAAAACTTGATATTTAGCCTAATTATTTAGAAAATCAACACAAAAATCTAAGCTAACCAAAAAAGTTTAACTAACAAAAAATGAAAAGTAAATTAATTTTTGCAACATGTCAATACGATTAAAATAAAATTCATATCAAAATAGTTAAATGAACAAAAAAAAAAGAATATGAAATTGATATCTATGCTATTTTTTATTTAACAAAATCAATATAAACAAAATAAGTAAGAAAATAAAAAACCTTAAGTAATACTAAAAAACTTTACCAACAAAAAAAAGATAAATATTTAAGCTAATTATTTAAACAATCAATATTAAGAAATTAATTAACAAAGAAAAGTAAAACAAAAATTAAGTTTTACAAAATGTTAAATTTTAAAAAATCACCTAAAACGAAATTGACTTGATATTTAACTAACTATTTAAGAAATCAATATTAAAATATTTAACTAACAGAAAAATAAAAAAATATCTTCAAAAATATCAATATTTTCAAAACAATTATATGTTAAAGCAAGATAAAAATCAATATCAAGAGAAGTCAATTATCAAAGGAAAAAGTTGTATAAAGAAAACCTACATTGATATTTAGGCTAATATTTTTGAAAATCAACATAAAAAATTAACTAAAAAAGCAAATGGTGGTATAAGCTTTTGAAAGAAGTCCACATAAAATGTAGAATACACAGTTATAGCATGTCAAAATAGCATTATAATTAAAATAAAAATTAAAGTAAAAAACAAATTTAACAAAGAAAAAATATTTTGTAAAAGAGATTAAATTGATATATGCTACATATTTGGAAAATCAATAACAAAAGAGATTAATTAAAATAAAATATAAAATTACCATCAAAAGATATGTAAAATAACAAAAAATAAAATCTAAGAAGAAAATTAGTTTGAAATTTAGTTCTAGAAAATTTATGATTTCTAAAATATTGGTATAGACTATGAATAACCATATAAATTTACAGTAGGT